GGTCATAATCCTTTGTTAAATCTTCTAAATCTTCTTAGAAAATGAAATTGAACAATAGAGTTATCATAAAGTATGATGTTCTCCATCTTTTCTTTCGCTAGGTTGACTCCATGATGACTTCGTCAAGCCAGTCAGAGGAAGTGGAGTACAAGGAAATCAGTAGAAAACACGCATGCAGTTTGTCTAGCGTCCAAGATTCTTAACAAACTTTCACATCGTTGACAACTTTCGGAATTTCCATTCCTTTTTTATTCCACCCGACTTTTTCGATTTTCCAACAACTGTCTGCTTGTTTATGATCCGTATTTTTAAACATAATGCCTACTAATTTTTTCGAAACTTTGGTACAATGTATCTCATTAAAGCTGTCACAGATAAAACTGCATCATATTAATATATTTGATTTTATGAACTCATTTTTTCCCAATTTTTTCAACTGTTTGGAATTTTCTAAGTTCCTTCATTGCACTATGTGTCAGAAAAACAAAAACGCTCTGATATGTTTTTTTATCTGATTTAATTTTTGCCATATTTTATTTCCTAAGTAAAAATGATTAAGCTAGAAGCTAGTTTTATCATATTTGAATATTTCTTGTCAAGAAATTTAAAAATTCCCAGTGTTTTGGGAAAATTAAATGATAAATTGGTATTTGGTTGAACATCCAAAGAAAAAAAAAACCGATTTAAAAATGAAAAGATGTGCATGCATCCTAAAAAACTCAAGCATCCATAAAAGGCAGTAGAAGTGTATTTAGCGAGTATTATAACAAAAATGAGCAGCAGGAGCTGAGTCAAAGAACATGCCGACGATAACTATAATGCATGTATCCCGAGCTTTTGCATTAATCAGTTTCAAATTAATATAGCTGATTAAAATTCAAATTTAAATAACATGACAGAACAAGATTGGTAAAAGAAGAAACAGCGACTGCTATCTTTTGTTATGAATCGTGTACATTAGATTAATTAGCACAGTATAATTATGAATAGCGTAAATTAAACGTTTAGATTGTAAAATGATTAAGATGTTGTTCTGCCCATATGATTTACAATCAGCTGAGTATATTCCCAATTTATTGTTATTCATTATCACTACAGTTGTCTTATTCTCAATTAATTAACATTATATCTCAATGCTACGTATTTCGTCATTTTACGAGGCTCATATATAACATATAAAATGTTAGGGTTGAAGTTTTTATTTATTACAAAATCTGATGCATACCTTTTTAGGCAAAAAATTTCTAAAATTTTTTGAGACTACTTTCAAAATAACAAATTAGTAACTAAAAATGCATAAGCAAAATTCATATGATAGGATTGATGTCCTCTATTACTATTCTTTGTTTGTAAACATACTTTAAGCCTGCTCTTAATACTTAAAAACTTAACAGTGCTCAAGTACTCCATCAATTCCATATTTCATTTACATTTCTTTTTAATTGACTCGTTTGCCTGTAATTGTCGTATAGATACACATACTTTTTAATGCAAAGAAATGAATGAACGTAGTTATCTGTATCATCAATATACAGTAGCTTGGTTATCAGGAAAATATTGCTTGAATAGAGTCAGTGCTGAAGAGTTTTTCCATGACGATAGAGGAGATGGCAGATCGGGAGAATCAGAATAACATGATAATTGTAGAGGTGACAGTATTCCTTGACAACGACACCTACAGCACAACAACAAGATTAACCGAACTCCTATACAGCTAAGTCACAATCAATGTCGAGCTTATTTTAAAAATTAACAGTCAAAAATCTATGTTGAATGTAATGCACAAAAATCAAGAGAGGCACACTATACAGTAAAATATTAGTGAAGTAGAAAAGTTTACCACTAGTAGAAAAATTCTGTCACTTAAAAAAGGATTGGTAACTTTATCATCTCCTATCCCAAATATCAATGCGAGGTGTATTGTGCTTGCTACTTACGCTAATTTTCAAACTATGAAACTTATTTTTTAAGACGACTTTCTTTCCAAGCCGTTCCAAAGAAATGCTTGTTATTACAATTCAGAAATTTAAACAAATCATAATTTATAACTGAAAATATATTGTACGAAATAATGTACGCTTAATCGCTGATTTAAACATAATTGGTTCTGAACAGTCCCTTTTGCAGATATTTCGTGCGAAACAAGTAGTTCAGCAAATAGGTGTGATAATTCTTTGCAGTATGATATGTTGCAGGTAATTTGTTCAGAAGAATAGGAAAGATAGCGAAATAAAACATTATGAAATGGAATTTGTAGAATGAAATGATAAAAGACGGGTAAATTAGTCTGAACAAAAACAAATGACCCTGCAATACAGTGTTAAATTGTTACTGGAAGATAGGCTTGTCAGTCCCTTTTTTAGTGGATTAGTGCCGTTGAGAGCGGCAGATGACCATAACAAACTATAAAAACACATATACAAAAACACGTGAACATACAAACAGACAGATGGAAACCCTATAATGAATTATCAAAAGGAATCAGGGACAATATATGTAATAATAGTGGAAGACAGGAGCAGGAAGTCATTAAACAAATCCTCTCATCCTACATGAATAGTCACTTAATTGCCTGTAATCCTAATATATTACAGATTTCAGATCCAGTACAGGCTAGGTTACTCTACAACGGTACTAAGTGCACTCTTATTGAAACTTTGTAGGATTATGTTTAATACTGCTGCTTTCCAAATTGCTCATAATTTTCTGCAAGATTTTCATAAATTTTGTTCAAAAAAAAGGCTGCAAGGAACTCTAAATCAATAAGCCTTCTGTTTCTGCAGTTCATGCCGTAAAATTATATTCAGTAAAATGCATATCATGTGCTTACTCAGTCATACGGGTTTTACTGGATGACAGCTCTCCAGGAACACTCACCTCACTAATTATTCTCATAGAAGAAGTCAACATGCGTTATTGATGGTATATGTTTTCCAAATGTTCTATCACATTATTTATATTAACAAAAATAATTTCAGTTAGATTTAACTACGTCATGAAATTTTCTAAAACGAAATTTGTATAATTACAAATAGTAATCATAACAGTAGAATAAAAAAATTAGCAAGAAAAGTGTTTGTAAAGGAATTTGAAAGGGGAGGAATAGAATGCTGATTGTATCGGAATAGGAAGGTATCAGTAACTATTACGTAGGACAAAAAGTGCAAAGTAGGACTCATCAATGATGACGGACCGATTTTTCAACTTTTTTATCAATTTGATTTAAATCCTTTCCTTTTTAAGAACAAAGTTTAGTCATCATTTGCAATTTTAATGAAGACCTTCATTTTTTGAGTCTTATATTTTTTTTGTTGAGAGCTTCTGAATCTTATCAACTGAAAGAATATCCGTTTGTATTGTTAATATCGTTTTCTAGAAAAAGGAAGTAAACTCAAATATCAAGTTCAGATACACTCTTGAGGCACAATAAAAAATGAAAATTTTTGAGATACAATAAAAAATGAATATAATCGAATCGAAAACATATTGCTAGAACACCAATCAAATCTCTGAATGCGAATCAGTAAAAAGTACAGCAACAATCTTTGAGTGACATAGTAAAAGTATACCGCCCTTAAAATGCAATACCTGCGTTGAGGGTACTAGTTAAGCGGTCAGTAAAAAGCGAAGAAAAATGATTAAGCTGGAGACATGTTCATATTAAATAACAACTGTTCTTGCTTCCTATGAATGTTCCTAGTAATATTTCCGGAATCACATACAATTAGTCGAAAAAGTAAAGTGGCTCTCATATTACAGATAAATGAAGCACACAACATAAATTTGATTTACGCAATGAGCTATTTTTAATTTCAGAACAAAATGTTAGGGGTAGTTTATGTTGGTAACTGAAAAATTGTTTAAAATGATTTCATTAGCGTCTAAATATATTACAGATAAATGTACATAAAGTTTACAAAAAGTCTATAACACTATAACACAAAACAGAGGTACAAAAATTTCAGTTGCTAAAATTTAAATAACTAACGATAGCGAACAATGCAACACCAGGAGAATCTCACTTTAAAAGACAGTTCAGATAGTGTACTAAGAAAAGCTTGCGACCCCTCAGCTTTAAAAAAAAAACACTGATATAGATCTCAGAGGCGATTTGAAGTTTTGAAGGTATCACATTATTCTATTGTCAATTTCATTCGTTATGAAATCTTTATGGCAAAATAAGTTCCAGGAAATGTTGGTTCTCTGGCTTCGAGATGATATGTGAACATTATATAAATCGATATGAAAACAAATTACTTTAAAAACATTATCCTTTCCAGTAACTTAGAAAAAGTGTAGATAAAAAACAAACTTTTGTGGTCTTCTATTAATAATTTTAACATTGCTGATGGACAGATACTGATAGGTAGAAAAATTTAACAAGACATTTATTTTACAAATTTAATAAAGCATAAAGCAGTTTAAGCCTACACTGTATAGAAATATTAATGCACCGAGTGCTCAATTTATTGTACCAAAATTGGTTAGAATAATGACTGAGCAATATTTTCTTTATGTACATCTGATTTAAGGTATAGACCGGTAATTTGCTGCAACAAATTAGGAATGTAAAGGGCAATATAATGTGACATATATTTAAATTAATAGAAAGAAAAATTTTTTAAATTTGTTGTCAGTTAATGAAAATAGTCTAGAGAGTAGAAATAATCTTCATCGATAGAAAAGATTTTGGTGAATAAATAGAACGGTATAACAACCGTTTTAAGAAGATTTTTTAGAAAATAAAAAAAACCGAAATCCTGAAGAACAGAAAAGAATCAAAATTATGAATTAAATGGGAAGACGGGGAATAGACTCCTCAAAAATAGAAAGGGTGGCATATCCAAAAATTTTTGGATATGAGAAACATTTTAAATGTATGGAAAGGAGTATAAAATATTGGTTTCAAGGAATGTACATTAGGACCGAGAAACAATTTTAAAAAATAGTGAAAAAGTGACTGAATCATATAAAAATGCTTTTGATAACATATCATTCATTTACAATATAACTTTTCTGCTAACTAATTCGACAGTTTGTTGCTTGTGCTGATGTTGCTGTTGAGCAATGTAGAAACGCATTAAATCACCGCTTGATACATACGGAAAGCCGACAGTACTAGCAGCCACTACTGATGTATCTGTAGCTGTAGCTGCTGATGGATCAACTGCCGTTGCTGCAACGGCAGGTGCTGGTGCAAACTGCTGTGGCAGTTGTGCTCGAGGGGCTGCAGCTGCTGTTAAAAATCGTGAATGATCCGACAAAAAAGCACCCGGTAAAGTACGTGGTACGCCAATCGCTAGTGGCGGATATCCAGGGGCAGCAAGGAATGGAGGTAGTCTTGAACCCTGCTGATAAAATGGATTAAATAACGTTGATGCTACAGCACCATACTGTTTAAAAACATCAAGGCGGGCTCGTGTTGTTGAGGAGGGTCGTCGTCGTAACTTACCCGTTGATCCTCCAATAAATACTTCATCTTCACAGGAAGCATCTAACATCCAATAATTACCTGAAAAGTATCACTTATTAAAAAAATACGAAAGACAAAGAGTGATGGAAATATACTATGTGCAGCATTTACTGCATTTTCTTTAGTTTTTAGATTGAAAAGGAAGAAACATGGTTAATGATGCTTCAGTGATATAGCTATAAATTAATTTAACAGATCAGAAGCTTAACCTTCCAAACATAGTAATGCTCTGAAGTTTAGATCATTCAGTCTAAAATGTTGGAAGGAGTAAATCCTCCAATAAATACTACCACTACATCCTACTTTATCTGTTGTTGCACCGCCCTCATCAAAAAAATACCAAAAAAATCCATGTAAAATATAATTTGTGAAAAAAAATTGATTGACAAGCTATTAATGGAGAATAAATATAAAATGATGCTGCTCCTGTGATGACGAAAATGAATAATGCTACCTTTTCCAGGGTCATCATAATTCCTCGGTACTTTGACGAAACATTTATTGAGAGACAAATTATGCCTGATCGAATTTTGCCACCCTTGTTTATTGTCACGATAAAATGGGTAATTTTTCATAATATAATCATAAATCCCACTAAGGGTTAATCGTTTCTCCTTACTGCTTCGAATTGCCATCATTATCAATGCGTTGTAGCTGAATGGAGGCTTCCCATTTTCGTCTGACTATAATGTTATCTCATGTCATCGTATATCAAAAAATACGATTTTAAATAGGTTCTCATCAAAGTTATAACAGCAAAGTACTGAAAAAATTAAACAGTACTTTTAGAGAATCTAACAACTTTACTTTTCGATTTACTTTACTTTTTTCTCATTCAATTATAATGTTAAGGTGAAAATAACCATTATTCAAAAGTTTTTAGAAAGCTAGCATAATCAGATTATGAATGATATAAACCTTTTAATATTTAAAAACGACGATCAGGTGAAAAAAATTCAGTGTAAGACTTTAAAAAAAGAACAAGCGCTTTACTTTAATAAATTCAGTTTTGCATGATCAAGGATTACATCATTATCAGTGATTTAAGGAACTATTTAAGGTTAAATCCTCTGGCTTAGTCATATTCAGTATTCTCTCTAAATCCATGGATTGTATGCCTGACGTAAAGTTAAAAAAAAAAAAAGTGATGTTGATATACCAGAGGTATATCAACATTACTTTTTTTTAATTTTTTAATGGGATTAATGTTTTCGTATTAAATAAATGGCATTTATTATACGACAAAAAGCCTTAAGATCTATGATGAATATAAAATTTTTCAAACAGAAATGAAAAATATTATCAATGTAAATGAATATTTAGTTATAACTTAACAATGACTGATAGAAGGAAAAGAAATGGAGTGATTATGAAAAGGAACGTGGGGAGACAACTCATAAGGAGAACTATTGCGGATCGAGGATTAAATGTATTCTTCAAAGCTATCGATGAAATTATATAGCGGTACTAGCTTGAAAAGTCCAAGCATATATTAACAATAATTTAGATAAAATGATTAAGCTTATATTAGAGAGATTGAGGTGAAAGATGCGAGAGATTACATATGCAGACACCTTAATATGCAACCGAATTTATAGCAGTTGGAAATGGAACTGAAACTTACTTTTTTGCTATCGGAACCACCATCGGACGCATTCTCTTCAATTCCTTCATCAGCACCTTCTTCGTTTTTACTTTTGCCTGCCATAATAAATGCTGCAAATGACAGATCTATCATTATCTTTTTCTGGTAAACAAATGACTTTAACTAAGTTTTAAAATGAGGAAGATTCCTTTAAGTTGGTTGCTGAATACCGGATAACAGTCAGTAACTTACACTTGGAGCATGATGCTGGCCTTTCTGCGACAAGATCGGGGCATAGCTCCGAAATTTTAAATTTCGACATCCGTGGCGCAATGCTCGCCTTATGTTTGTTGTGAGAATTACAAAGCTGGACGAAATATGAGTACTTTTCAAAGAACAGTAATAAACAAGCAAACAAACAAACAAACAGCTCGACAATCAGCACGGTATCACTCCGAGCATACAGAGATTTATGTCCTCCTACAACTCTCTGTGTGTGTATGCGTGTGCACTTCAGAGTATTGTCTGTATGAATGTAAATGCACAAACACACACACATACGCACAGATACAACAAACATGTAACATAAATGGTCCAATGATTGGTTGTTGAGAAAACGTATTGCCTTTATTACAACATGTATCGTTTGGGGCGGGGCGCATTTAAAACAAGTGGGTGGTGCAAATGTTCGGTGGTGCTCCAATTGGTTTCGCAGCAGGAGACGGTAGCAAGATGAAGGTAGAAATGATTTGAAAATGCTTGAATAAACCAAAGAGGTAGATTTGTAATGAACTGAATTGATTGGAATAGAATTGAGTAAAATCAATGGATGCTTCATAACACATCAAACAGATCTATCGTTGAAAACGACAAATTAACGAGGCGTCCGCGACCTCATCTCTGTTTGTTGTACTGCTAATGCGTTCACTAGACAAACAATTTTACCTACTTTTTTTTGTTTATTATTTATTCACTCGTTTGTTTATTGCTCAAATTACCTGGAGATCTGTTTGTCACAGTAACACAAAAGAAAAGCTAATTTATAACAGTCTTAATCATTCTTTCCTCGTTCATTACACTCTCCAGCTACCGTTCTTCAATCTTTCAAACCAAAAATTGTTACAGAAATATACATGGAAGAGGACGAAGCGTAGGTGAGAAATAATTATTCTCCAACAGTATCACTGCATCTTATTAGGTACTAAATTAATTTTGCATGAAAAAAACTATTGAAGTACATACGACCATTCAAATAGCATTGGCGAAACTGGTATTTTGAAAAACTCCACTGTGAATTTTGTTTTTGTACAAATAACGAGATCATGTTATTTAATGGGATAAATATAGGCTTTTCAATAAGAGAACAGAAAAATTTTCGAATAATTCAAATCCAAAATCAGAGGAAAAATTTGATGAAGCAGAATAACTACCGAATTTGGTGCAAAATATTTTTTTTTGAAACAAAATTTCCCAGTTAAAAAAATGGTATCGTGAAACACTAACCATTAACATCATTTTTGGATATCATTTTTTGATATAATTGTTAAAAAAAGCCTATAAAAGAACGATCCAAGATCTATGAATTATGTGTATAATTGTTTCATAATGGTAAAAGCCTTATATGTTCCATTTTATTATTTGAAATGGAGCATGGTGATGTGAACGAAAGGTCATTTCAACTTTTATCGATATTTCATCCACTCGAGATCAACAAATTATCAAGATATTTTGTAATGTGTAGTATTAAAAAGCTTAGATTTGATAAATGTATACTTTTCAAATAAGGAAGAACTTTAAAATGTTTAACGAGGTCAATAATATCGTCTTATAAGAGTGTAGAACAAATATCTTAGAAGCCACTGTTCATTTTACGAATCAAAATAAGAGGGACAAGTAAATTGTTGTTAAACAGAAGGCGAAAGATGAGTTGATGAAGCTTATCAAAGAAACAAGTGGCAAAAATAAGCTCCAAAACTAGGAGATTTGATGACCATTCTAAACAAATGCGAATAATGATGCTTATCAAATTGAAGCAGTAACATCCACACCAGAAACTCTTGCCTTATTGCCTACTTTGCATTTCGCTCTCTGGTCACCTTTGTACTTTCTCTGTTAAAGCTTTACATTCCGCTCTTTTTTTTTTTTATATAACCAAGAAAAAGCTTAAAGTTTAGTCGCATGAAAAGGGATTTTATTTAAAATAATATTGCTGACAGAAAATAGCGAATGAATGCATTTAAGAAAGATCGTGCTCTTCCTGTTGTTTGTTTGTATCGCTATTAACTATTAACATTTGTTTGCTTGATGGTCTAAGAAATCATTCAATTATGTCACATCGGGTGCGACATCATACCGCAGTGTTAAGCAATACATTTGATAGGCGTGGGTCGGTAGGATAGTTAATCCCAAAATTGTTTTTCACGAATGAACTCACTATATATCGTGCTTATGACACCGACAGAGGAAGAAAAGCGAAGATTCATCCCCTTTTACTTTTTTACTTGATCGTTTTACCTTTTGAAGTCTTTTATTCTTCTCATATATGCATATTACTCTGTTCATCGGTATCAGTTTACAAACTTTCACATCTATTTATTTTTGATATCCCATTGGTCTCATCCGATTTCTGGCGTTACCGGAAACAATCATATTCACTTGTTCACCAGTAATTACGATAGACAGTGATATAAAAAATTTTGTTAGTTTAACTCTGCCATTACACTGTTAAAATTGATCGAATGTTTAACAAACAGTGATTCTTCAAGAAATCTACACGGTGAGAGCAAAGCTTTGAAATGCTTCAGTGAAATCTATTAATATAAATATGCCGTGTGTTATATTCATTTCAGTGAGCTTACCAATTTCTGTTATACGATTGCAATGATTCATACTTCCGCTCTATCTATTAAAGAAATACCGCAACAGTTATCGAATTTTTTTTGCGTTAGAAACTAATTTGGTTCTCCGATTCCTACTTATTTTTCTTATACTCATCGTGAATTCTACAACAATTGTAAAACTAACCGTGGGAGAATTCAGTGAAGCGAAAAGTCGAAAATTTACAGCAACAATGGTTGGTTGATTAAAAGAAGGAATAGAGAGATAGAAGTCCGTTTTCAAATATCTTATGAATAAAACGATAAGAGTGGTATACATCAACAATTTTTTCGGGAAAAAAATTATCACTGTTATTTAACTTCTATAAAATTTTTTAGAAACATTTATGATTTTATTAGCAGCATGATAAGTGCAATTATTATTATCACCAGTAAAAACTTGTGTAAGACTGAATTTTCTTTCATCTAATGTTAACTGTGCAAAGTCATTGGTTTTACACCTCTCAAGCATGATTTTCTCCTGATCCATTTCCGTCTTTTTTTTTTTTCAGCGGATTCCTGAATTTCTTCCATAATTGCTGGAACTTTTTCTCTATTTCTTTTTCATCACTTTCATTCATTTTCAAATATATGAGTCGAGTGGAAAAAGTTGCACAAATATTCCAATCAATAAATAATGTACAAGCTGATTTCTGTCAATATTGAAAAATACTACCACACTCTCATTAACGCTTCAATATAGGTATTCGCATATTAATTTATGAATTTCATGCTCGAATACTTTCACTGCTTTTTTCTCTTGACGTTTTTATTGGTACCGTATCACCATTGCTCATAACAAAGAATTCGTAAATTAATGCCGAACTAGTTTCACTTGTATAATTATTACAAACAACTCTGTGATACTTCATTTTTGTGTATTAAGAAATAACACGAACGCTTGTGTCACGAATTATTGTGAAACTAGTGGAAGATTTACTAATTGATTATTCCGATTAAATAATCGGAATAACTGATTTCTTCTTAACTTTAAATGAAATTTTGCAAAGTCAACAAAATTTAATAAAAATATGGAAAGTTATGAATGTTGCAGCGAAAGGGCAGAACTAGCATTAAACAGCAATCAAATAAAGGATGAAATATAAGTGAAGTAATAGCTTATGGTTACGCGACTAAATTGAATAAGCCGTCACTGACAACGAATGATAAGTGTTATTTTATCGGTGTTACTGAAGGAGACGTTATATCAGTCCAACCGGGAATTTGCTGCAGTTGAGCAAACAAATGGAAAATTTAGAGGAAGAAAAGTATTATTAAAATAACAGTAAGAAATGTATCAATCCAGGGTATTAATGATATTAACAAATACTGCTACTGAGAGGTGCGAACAAGCAGTGCCACTTCATCTTTATAGTAGTCACAGGGTGCTCTAAACACAAACATTGCTTATCCAGCAGTGTTATCGCCAGACAATTTTTCAATCTATCCATACAGAGTAACCTTCACCTAAAATTTCAATTCTTTTCAGAATCTAATTATCGAAAAAGAATCTAATTTCTCGGGGCTTCAGGCACTTAACACTTGCAAAATTTCCCCAGTCTAATCACACACACACACACACACACACACACACACACACACACACACACACACACACACACACACACAAAAAAAAAAAAAAAAAAAAAAAAAAACTCTTATTGTACGTCGCTGCTGCTGAAGCTGTTGAGCAATCAGAACTGAAATCGAAAAAAAGTGTTCTGGATTTCGACCGGAATTACAAAGCCACATAAATATGTCCTTATTATCCTAAGTATTCCTCAGCTTTCTTCGAAAAACTCCATTTGATACTTCTGGTATTGAACAGTAAAATATTCAAAATACTAACATATAATTACAATGGATCCTCTGGAAAAGGATGAGAAAATTTGCAGAATAGGATATACAAATGTCATATGCTTGTTGATAATCAGCGAAACAAATGTATATTCATTAGCTTTGCAACACATCAAATACAGGATTAATCAACAATTACACTCAACAACAAGCGATTTCATGAAGTAATGAACAATCGTGAAAAATATAGCAACCATTCCATTGCATTAGGTATAAAAGAGGATTTCTTCTAATAAAAAGGATTACATTCATTTAAGTATCAGTAATCCTACATATATGAGAAGTCTATTCATATAATATCCGTCCTTTCAATTACTTAATCTTGACACTAAAATCTGCAAGGGATATTTCCTAAACAACAACAACAACAACAAAAGAAAAACTTTCAGAATGAATTAAAGACTAGAAATGAGATACTTCACTTACTTTTGCGGACTTTGGAGAAGTGAGCCTACAACAGCAAGTGTAGTTTACATTTAACTGCATGGATAATAAGTGTCGAAATCACGAATTAACAAAATGGCTAGTCATTTAAACGATACTCGCCAAAAATAGAAATTTGAGATGACAAAATAAAATTTCAGCATGAAAACAATTGTTACAAAATTATTTTGGCAGCAACAAACACAGACAGCAAACAAGGGAAATGCTTCATCATGACAATCTCTTAGAAAGTGGATTCTAAACGAAACATAAGACATTCACATGCAATAGACTAAAATATGAACAGAAAAAAACAACAGTAAACATAGCTAAACGATAAGTTGATAAGCTGTTTGGCTTATATTATGAATCCACATAAATAATCAAACTGAATATGCATTAAAGCGATAAACATGTCCGCTAAATGAGAGCAATAATTAATGTAATATAATTATTAAAAATAGAATGTGAAGTTAATGACTGAAATATGCAGTCATGCAGATTCCTTTCTAAAATGTGATTCATTTTGTAGAATGCAATACCAGTGAAAAAATCAACTAATAACTTTCACTACAGAGAAAAATATATTGCAGTATAATGAAACATGGAATAAAGAAGATACTATCAAAATAAAGTATGAGAAACAATCAATAGTAAAGTAAATCGTCATGAAGGTATTTTTTTATCAGAAATTAGGTAGAATCACAACAATTTTCAGTATTTACGTCTTTTATAAATGAATCGAAATGATGATAACTATAATGTATACATTATAAAAATGAGTTAAATGACTGATCATCATTACGATTCTTCCATAACGCGATTTGAAGGATATAAAACTATTTGACAGGTTCGTATACAAGAACTTGAAACACCACCTGTACGATGACAATGTACTATATTTGGATGAAAACAGCCATAGTAAAGAAGCATAAAGAAAATCCCTACAAGAAATAAGACGTATATTCCTATCTCTACATACTCCTTATATGGCAAAGTGTAGCGTTCATTACTCATAGCCATTTTTGAAAGAATCTGAAAATCATAAAAAAATTTGAGAATCTTTGTTTCAAGAAATAAAACGAACCGATCTCCTACTTTTGCCGAATAGTATAACTTTAAGAATAAGGAAATGAACTAAATGTTATTCCATAAGCCTAGCCATCTAATATATTTTAACATGCAAAATTATGGTACAAAATAATCACCTCGAATAATTAAATTGTTGCTGAACTATTAATTAGGGTGTTCACATGCAAAAACTTACAACAATTTCGATCGCTTCAATGCAATACGCCACAGTATATCTATAACGTGATCGTCCTTCAGCCATGTTGTATGGCGCAAAAAAGTGAACAGCTGCACAAATTACAATCAAACCCACTTTCACTGATTTATTTTTAAATTTCGTCTCAAAAGGCTAAAAAAGAAAAAAAAATGTATTACTCAAATGTGTGAGAACCCAATTTAAAAGACTTATAAATTAGAGATATGGATTTCATTTTGAAACGATATGTAAATGATTACTTGTAGGACAGAAACGTGTGTGACGGATATAATGAAATGTATTATAAATAAAGCCAATATCCAATACTGATAATTGAGTATGAACAACACAAAACATATATATCGCGAAGATACTGTGAAAATTCGCCATAATAACTAGAATAAAATCGTGAAAGGTATAAAACTTAATTATTCTGAATATTAATAAACAGTGCCATTTTTAAATTAAGTATGAAGAAATCAACCTGCATTAAAGCGCCACTAGGTGTAATATTCTCTTTATCGGGTCGACTCAATCGCAAGCTCCGGTGCTGGATGACAAATGACCAGCAAGAAGACAACAGAGAGAATGAAATTGAAACCACCTGAGTCAACACTAAAAAAAATAACATGCTGCAGCATGGATATACATTAGAGAGGCACTAATAAAACTGTAATACAAATCATTAGAAAGAAATCGGTAAAGGCCTTTTTTACAGAAGGAAGATGATGAATTATTTATCAAAATGCATGAAGCATTCAGAGGATGTAATTTGCTACTTAGCAAAACTGAAAGCATCATCTGCTTTCATAATCGAAAGATAAAAACCACAATGTTCAGACGAAATGCGTTATTAAACATTTATTTATGATTACGCAACTATTACAATTTAAGTTAAAAGTGTTAACATACTCCATTTAGGGAAATTATTCGATGGATTCAGTGAATAAAACGCATGAGTCAATGCAATACCTTGTACAAGCATCTGAGGTACTGACTCCAAAAAAGCTTCAAAAAACCTGCAGTTAAGTGGACGGTAAAATATGGATGTCATCAACTGACATCATTCAGAGCGATTCTAATTTTAAAGACAAATGAAAAGTTTAAATTTGCTTCTTCAGAGTTCCATGTCTTTTTTTTTTTTTTTTTTTTTTTTTTTTAAAGAGATAACCTCAGCAACGCTGCGTCTCTTTCGGCCTGAATCATAGCTATATATGAAGATAACTTTTCGTTTCTCTTTTTAGTCATTCGAAATTTTATTGCGGCTAAAATTGCTTCCACGTACCAGACTAATGGACTGATCTAAAGAGTCGAGATACATTATATATATAGAGCGACCTAAGAAAATCGGTATCAAAACCGTTTGTAACACAGAAATTAATATTAAAAAATTTAAAGCGTAATATTAACAAAAAAAAAAAACCTGCAAAAGACACATAATAATGCGAAGAGTAAACTGTTTTGAGTATGCATGCTTCATTCCTTGCTGAACGGCATGTGCAGAAACATCGTCAATCCACCATATAAACGAAACAATGTTTAAAATAAGAGAAGGTAAAACAGTAAGAATAGATATGAATATAGATGCCCACATCTAAAACTCAATATAATCATTATTCTTCCAAGATAAAATAATATCAAGCAGATCAAAATTTGCGGTGAATTCCAAGAACTTTAAAAGAGAATCAAATGCATGGAATGAAAATCGAATTAAATTTGGCGTCTGTTTATACTAAAACCCGATTTTCGAATTAAATTTGGCTCTGTTTATACTAAAACCCGATTTACAAATAAAATAAAATGTACCCAAGAATACCACTTGGTTACGCTATTCCTTTTCCTCTTGTACAACCAAGTAAGAACCAAAACCTACTCGATGCTCACAATAATGGATATAAGCAACCGTAGCATCACTGCCAATATCGGCCAAATACGAGGCAGCTGAGAAGATGAAGCAAAAAATATCAAAATTGCGAACGGTAAGTGTATGGGGTAGACGATCCGTGCAGTCCTTGAAAGCATCTGCAATATAAATTATAGTAATTAAAATTTATATATATATATATATATATATAACAAAGATGGTAAAAACATGCAAGAATATGCGCAGTACTTTACACAAAGAAATGAAAAAATATTTCTAGTAAATTATAGTAATTAAATACACTGAGTTCTACTAAATCCTCAAGACCAGTATATTTTTCTCAGTGGTCGTTTTTCAAAATTCCTCGCTATCTAGCTAATTATTAATCTGTTTGTAAGTATGGTTTTCAAAAAAGAACAAAAGTTAACTGAAAAAGAGTCGCTGATGTCATTTATCCTGCTTACCAGGAAAATTCAACGGTGAACTTAACAAACATTCACGGCTATTTGGCATCTGCATTTAAGAGTTAGTGAAATTACTTAGCAAAAGAAATAAGTAGGAGTTTCACCATCTTCAAATCTGATATTACGCTTCACTGGATATTTCCAGAAATAGGCAGTTCCGTTTGACTCGTTTCGAAGAGGACCTTCATTACCAATTTCCCTCATAACGGAAGCGACTTATATCTGGAAACTACGGTTAAGAATAGCAATAGTAGTGATGAGCATTACTTCCAGTAATATTAGAATTCATAACATCAATGACCTTACCCGTCGCATTGAAAACAGAATAGATCTACAGAAAACGTCACTGCTTGAAAAGATCACTGGCTATAGTATATAGGTTGTATAAGAAAAATGTAAAAGATAACGACACCATAATTTTCAGTTTCTATTTATAGATTTTCCATCCACAAAGTAACAAAGAACTGTTTTTTCCTTCAACAGGTGCACCACCAAATTATTATAAGCGTCACCATTGCTGGTAGCATCTGGTAGCAGATGTTCACACGTCAAAACCATGCTGTGGCGAGTCGAGCTTAAACCTGCCAGGAGACCCTTTTGTAACAGTGGTATAATTCTAACTGGGCGATGGTTGCGGTAGGGAGTTGTGACGGTAACGTGGTGTGCATGATTGTCGTTTTATTCTTACTGTTGTTGTTATTACTATCATTTTTGTTATCACTATTATTATTTTAATTATTATTGTTATTATTAATTGTTAATAGCAATTATTAGTGATTACTATGATTGTCGGAAAACCGAAAAAAATAGTATTACACACTAAGTGTTTAGAATAATGCTAATGATTCATTACTATAAAGCAATTCGTTATTCCTTTGCTATATCCCATTTTTTGAAACAATGAATTCTTTATCGAAACCTCAAATAGTAAATGTACATCTGTCTTCATTGTAAATGTTAATCCTCTAAGCTAAGTCCACTTCCTACATTTTTAAAATCTTCTCTGAACAGTTAGGAAAAAGGAGAGGATCGGCAGCAGTCTTCTTTCCCTCCTACTCAACAGTACTTTTTATTCCTTTAGTGTTTCAATTATTTGACTGCATATTTATAAAGAAAATAAAATTACCTGGCAGTCAATAAAATTTCACCACAAAGAACTTTTTTAGTGCCGGAGGTGAGGTTAATTGGTCCGCGATATAACACTTCATTCAAACTTTTCATTTCCTTTATGTGTGCTGAAGCATCATAAAGAATTCTTAACTCGGTGATAGTCTTATCTGGATTACGAACATCATTTTTGATTCATTTGTGATTGTACTTCTTCGATTATTCAGAACGTAGTTGATCTTGCATTATTTTATCATGTTCTTGTAATTCCTCTTTATGGGACTGAAGTCGTGCTATCAGCATTCGTAAATGGCTAACGTACTTCATATCTCTCATTTTATTTAGTGATACTCTTTTTAAATTGTTACAGTGCTTGTTCATCATCTTGTATATCAGTCGATCTTGAATGCCAGCGCAGTCTAAGTTCCAAAATTGGTCTATATTTGGAACACGATTTTCTTGGAATATCTTCTTTGCAAAGGTATTGCGATGGTATAATCCGTTGGTATAACCGCATCCTGCTATGATACGACTAACTTTGCTGTTCAGTAGAGTGAATCCTGACTTAGTTGCTGAGTGTTTTCCATAATCACTATTATATTACCACTGTGATGGAAGCAATTTCGTTTTATGCAAATCGCATGTTCACTGGAAGTGCGTGCCCATGCACTCAAGTTATCGATTTTTACAAAAAACATTAGGATAAAAAAATGAGTTCAAACTGTTAGCATAATAAATGATACCACGAACGACGGCATTCCTATTACGGATGGATAATGAATTTCTACAGAAACTTTTGCAGGTGGGCGGATAATGAACTACTTTCAGTTTTTAAAATTCGTAAATTAGACCATTAATGTACTGAGTAGTGTTAACCTTACTCGATCTCATTTGCAATAGCTACTTAGTTTTTTTTTTTTTTTTTTTTGGTATCTGGTAATGGATTCATTTCTGTTATAACAGTCCTATGGATTTTTCCCATTTTTAGAGCAGAAGATATTGTTGGTGTCACAATTTACTCGAGAGATAAGAAAGCGTTGTACTTCAGGTTTTGTTTTCTTTGTTCTTTTCGAAAGAAATTTTGGCGATTTATAAAGCAGAGACATCCTTAACAGGTTTTTCTTTTAAACGGTACAGCGCAAATTTTTTTCACTTTGTTTTTGCCACTTGTCCTTGTAATTTTAATCATTTGAAGGTAATGCAAGTCTGAAAATTCAGAAGTTTAACTAACATCTAAAATGCGAACTAATCAATTCGTGTACCACAGACGAAGTATTTTGCATATTGTCATTTTTATGGACTTAACTTTTCTTAAACCTAACCAATGTGGGAACTTTTCAAAATAGGAAAGGAATTATATTAAAATATGTCCAATTTCTTGTCATAATGTCTTGGAAGTTTTAATATTTTTATTTTCCTATTTAATAGATTTACTGAAAAACCAAAACTTAGCTTGCTTCTCTGTTTAAGGTTGCTTGGTATAGTACCAATCATTTTGGAAGTGAATGGAATTATGATTTATGGTTATAGTTTTCACCTTAGAAAGGTATGGCAGAAAGTAGTAAATCACCTAGCCAACTGACATAGATATATCAAACTATATGAAGTTTAATATTTGGTAATGCTTAGTGTTTAATATTTATTTCGAAAGGATTACAAATTTCTCCTGTTTTTAAAGTTTTTTCTAACTTTCCATGAAAAAAAAAATGTAACTCTAGAAACACTTTTTCATTGGTTTCTTATCATCTTGAAATGGTTCTAAAGGAAAGTCTAGAATCATTCTGGTTCTTAGTGAAACTTATTTCTCTGCAATGTTTTTGGATGCAAAAGTAGATTCAAGATATTAAGTTGATTTGTAAATAAAATTTTTTTGTCATTTCTGTTAAGAGTTCATGAAATGATTTTAATCTTGTTAATGCAATGTGAGATGATATCATTTTTCTCTGTGTAATACAATTAAATTTGGAAAACTGGAAATTTCTAAGCAGAACTTTTACGATATTCTGTATTGAATACCAAACAAGAGATTTCGGAATTATTCAGTCAAATTTTTAAGAAAGCTGTTTTCCGATGGCAGAGATGTCTTAGTACTAGTTATTAGCTAAATCGGAGATGATACAAATAAATAAGGTCTTTTTTAATGACATATGATACACATATCCACACAAACGAACATTAGACGGTTCATCTTAAGGCAAAAGAAAAAAAACGAAGTTAAAAAATTTGCGTTCGTTGCATAACTGTTTTAACGGAATCATTTAATAAAGTTCCGAAGCTTTGTTTATTTCATTAACCTGTTCCTTATTGCTCTCGACATGAATGTGCCATTTGTTAACAGTTTCCATGTTTCCATCATACTGATAATCTTTAATACAGAGGTAAGAAATTGACTGTACGAATAGAATCTTAAAACAAAAACAAAAATTATCAAATTGCAGCAGCTTTCTTTGCTTATCATCTGTTTTAAGAGTTTTGTTGCTTATCGAGACAGGAAAAATAATACTTTCTTGTTCTTTGAATAAGATAATGAGACTTGTCGAAAACTACCTTTAAAAGTTCACTTGAGTCCAAAAACAAAGTAATTATAGAATACAGTTTATTATATTGTTTAATAGTTTCTCGCCTAATATCAGAATTATGTATTATCCTTATCAGATTTGGATACAGATGATTTCATTTGTGCCCAAAACATATTAATTGATCTTCTTTGATCGACTTAAAATATAAAGCAGAAACTGAGGTATCAGACCTAGTTAGTAGGATGCACATTTGCTGGGTTAATACTTCTTTATTCCGATTCATTTCATGCCATTCATTTACATATGTTTATTCTGATATCGCATTTTAAATATTGTTGAAACTCAGGGTTTAATCTAACATAAGTTCGAAAAGGCTGTTCAAAATTTTTTCAAACACAGTTTATTAACTACTAAGAAAATTAATCATTCTGTTGAACAAATGTTTTTTTTTTTTACAGCATTTTGTAAATATTGCAAGGCTTTAGACATTGTCGATGGTAATGTTCTAGGAAAATTTCCATCAAAATGATAGCCATCAAAATTTTGATAAGTGTTGCCCATTTCCCAGTTGTATTTGAATAACGTCGTTAAAATCGAATAGCTAGACATCCAGTATAAAGCGATTTGGTCAGGCTACTTGATGCTGAAAGTTATGTGAATTAATTTTTTCTAAAAAGATTTTGGAAACAGTCTATCACAAATTCCAAGAAGTTCAACAATTGTTTTAAATGATTTGGGCAAGAAATTCAATTTTGTTCATATATTCATGAGATTTTCTTATACAATATCTTTTCCAACAACATGGTTAGTGGTACCAGCCATTGTTTTAAAACAATGATATAATTCCATTCTGTAGGTTTCGGTTTGCATCATGATACGTAATTCTTTTCTGTACCCTATGTTGACATAATTTTTTCAGTTTCTTTCAAGCTAATGTAGACGAACAGAACATTCAACAAAAAAAAAATCGCTGGTTTCACCTGGCATTTAATGAAGCTAGCTCAGACTGAGTTTTCAATGCAGTGGATATTTTCGAATTCATTTCAAAATTAAAAAATTTCTAATCTGTGCTGACGGGTGGAATAAAAAAATGTGAATGCAATAGGCAAGCTAAATCTTAATATTGCCATCACAAAAGGCATGACACAAACTTCTTTATATACGAACAATATGTTATACAAAAAGATTGTTGTCGCTGTCACCTACACATCAAAAGTATTATGATAAACTTGTTAATGTTCATCTGTAATATAAATTTGGAACTAGCATAATTAACTTTTTCATTTTTCATTTTACGATCATTCATAAATTGTCCTCCACTTCTTTGATATTTGATTATTTTTTATTAACTATTTAAGTAGGGAATTTTGCTGTTTAAATGGACTGGATAAATAATCATTCTACGTCTCAACATCATAACATAGTTCTCTTAAAATTTTGATGCTTTCTTTAATTATTAATATAGCAAATTTCTGTAGTTTTGCTTAATCAGTGTTATTTTTTTAGATACCCAAAAGGAGGATGAAGTGGAAGTAAGCATACTGAAAATGAAGGAAGTTCAGCGATGTGATGCCAAGTGCTTATTGTGGAAAATCCGGTACATTCATAAAAAAGATATTCATAAAACGCCATTAAATTAATGGAGATCTTTAGCACCTAATATCCAGAACTAATTTTGGATTCAGACTAAGCAACAGGCAGAGACTGTTAACGAATTCACTAATCTTACCGGATGGCCTGACATTACGGACATCTACATTACCAAAAATGTCGTGGTGCTGCCAGCTTTGTATGATTTAGAAAGTTTGACTTTTCAACCGAGTGTTTAACTTTCTTTTTCTTGTCCTGATTAAAATATAGGGTGAGGACAAGAAAAAACATGAGAGAAGATAGCATTTTAGTCCAGATATCGTATAACCATCGAATAAATTTAAAATTCTGTATATGGAATCCCAGAAGACCCCAAAATCTAGTTATACCCACCATACAAGTTCATCCAAATATTCATGTTTTGCTTTTCCTTCAACAAGATGATGTCATACTACATTTTAAATCAATTTAATATCTACATATATCATCGTTAATAACAAACATACAGACAGTTTTTTATCACTTTAAAATATCACTTATATTGGACACATTTCAAAATTTATTTGAGACTTATAGGTTTTTTTCTTCTATCGAAAAATGATTGCAAAATTGAGGACTTTTTCTACAAATAATGAAATTTTGTTCCATCAAATAATATTCTCAATGTGAAGTGATTTACAAAAATATCGAACAACTGAAAACATAAATACATTAATCAAATAATTTCCAACAAAAAAGCCCACTATTTTACAAAAATGTGTCGTGACCGGAAGATGAGATGCTGTAATAAGAGTTTCCGAGTGAATTTCTCCTCTGTTGCTCGGATAACAAGGCAGTACATTGTGTATGTACTCCTTTCCCTAATATATTTATTGTCGTACGATTCCTGGAAACAATATAGCAAATAGTGAAATCATGAACCCAGAAAAACTTTAATGAAATCAATTATTGCACTATTAGTTTTTACTTGACCTGTTCACCACATCTGAAGCAAATGTAAGACGTTTAGAAATGTATATCTTTTGTAGTCTTTTTTTTTTTTTGGATGATGATGGCTTTGAAAATATTCAATATGTGTGTGATAAAATTTTTTTGGATGCTACAATTAATACTGAGTTAGAGCGGTCGATAACTGGTAGATGAAACATTCCTGCTAACATGAAACAACGATTCACCGGTGCAATAGCTCTTACTAATGGCACTCTGAAAGCACTAGCATCAGGTTTAATAAATTTATCGATTAAGATGTAGGTAAATTAGAACATCTATTCTTAGGCGTCAGAGCGCTGTTTTTGCTTCCTTTGGGTCTCCTACTTTAGTATTCTCACATTTATTGGTTTTATTCTCCTCACATCATTAAACATTCATTAAACACTTATTTGACTGATTATTTCAATTGTCGGAATCTATGACAATTATAAACAAACCTTTTCGTAAATATACCATCTTGTCTGTGTGCATTTTTATGCCTTTCAAATAATATAATCCATATTTTCGGTAAAAAAATGCAAGCTAATGCGACATTTGCAGACATCGATATCGATATGCACAATGATGTCGTTTGTATCTAAAAATAAGTGTTACTTTGCTTCGATTTTTTTCTTTTTTTTTATTATTCTAATCAGTTTTCGACTTCATGGAGTTTATGTTATTTTAAAGTACACAATAAAGTACAAAAAATATTCTAGAGAAGTTTCTATGCAATTTATAAGTTTTAAAATTCAACAGAACAATTTGATTTCAATTCATATCTATTAAACGTAACAGACCTGAAAGTCACTTCCTGTACCGAAAAAGAAAAATATCCAGGAAAGCCACAAAACACATGTTGTGTACATTGTGAAACCAATAAAACGTGTTTCATTGAAATTCTCTGGCACTTTTCGAGTTTTGATCGCATAAACAGTACATAAGACAATTAATGCAGCATCATAAGCCAGCGAATAAAGGAAATGATGATCAGGAACGTTACATTTGAGCACAACTTGATCTCGTGTTGGATAATAATGTTTCGTACCTAAACATTATCACTGAAGACATTCATTGTCTTATTCGTTCCCAAAACTCAATTGCGATTAAGAACATAAATATAAATAAATGACAAGAATTTACCGGGTGGGACAATAAAAAGCCAAATAAGTGAACCGAAAAGTTGAAGACCGGCAAGAAGTGCTGTCAAAAGGACTTGTGATACAGGAGAGATGCACATTGGTCGTTGCACTGAACGATGTGAAAAGATTCGGGCTATCCGATTGGTTTTGACCAGAAGAGCTGCGTATAAACATGAAAAAGCAAACCCAATACCTAAAAGGGAGATCAAGTAATAAAATTAAATATTCAAGGATGATCACAAAGCGAACTTTTAAGGAACTTACCTGTCCTTTTAATAGCACAGTTGAAAGTGGTCGGTCTAGAAATAAGTAAAAAAGTCATTGTATAACACATAATCATTGCTAGCAGTATAATATAACTAAGCTCACGTCCTGATGCTTTTACTACCGGTGTGTCGTGATTCCTGCAATGCAGATAACTTTTTTAATACTGAAGGAAGCTTTTTTCATAAATGGGAAATGTAGTAGCTGTTAGGAACTTATGGTTACAGATGTATACATTTGTAGCTTTCCTGTAAAATTAAAATTGGTTTTTTTGAATTTTAATTTCAGTTTTAATTACTTTAAAACTCGTCGTTTTTGACCATATTTATTTTGTAAATTAACTGAGTTATAAATTAACTGATCTTTTATTAAAACTAACCAAATACAATTTTGTTTATTAGGACTTTTTTCATATTTACAACAATTTCTTATTAATGTTTCATTACTTGCAGACCATTATCTTCAATTGCTCATGTTTAAGGTATTCCACCGGACAAAGGTACAATCATGACTTTTATCAAAGATTGTTATTTTGTCAATTGTAATTCAAAAGATTAACTTGAAGTAATGGAAATTTTATCATAATAATTTATCCTTTGACGTATAAGAATAGTCCTGTCATGGTTAGTAAGCTGCAATTCTGAGTTCGCTGGCAAACTCCTATGTGACAATACATTTATTTCTACTTCTTAAAATAAGCATGCCAATAATATTAAATAACTACATATAATTGAAGGTCAGAAATCATTAAGAAGTATTGCTGAATTAATTGCATAATTTTTCGAAATAACATAGTAGTGGTTCGGAAAAAATTTTCCAACTGCTGCTGATTATAACCCATACAGTAGATTCTTACCTACAACAGTCACCTTTTAAAATTTTATAAATTGTGAACCTCGAATATATGACAATCGCAGCAATTGTTGAGCAAATACCAACGACAGCAAATAAGGTAGGTATTATCGAATACCTAAACGAAATACGCATGTTTTGATATTTTGAAGTGGAAGGAGCAATTAGAACATAGTGTCATACCAGGAAGACCATCTTATATATTTCAGGCTAGACTGTGCCAAGTTAAAGCAGTTTTTTCGATCAGTTGTCGGCCACCAACCTTCACCACAATCCACACAGGTTGTTTCATCTGGCAAAAACTCATAATCTTCGCATTTGCTGCAAGCCCAACAACAAATTTCATCCTAAAACCAATCAAACTTTGAAAATAAAAATCGATCAAATTTTGAAAAAAAAAATGCTTTGATTTCGCTTTAGAATTGTCGAAATTATCCGACAATCCACTACATCACATTTTCTTGTCGTCAAATGTACGCCAGAGAATTATAATTAACCTATTCGAACTATTACATCTCTAACCATGAGCATAACAGGAAAGTCTATCACTAAAACGAATTATACAGAATAAATCTGTTGCAACACTTAGTAGGTGCATATGTAAACTAATCTTAATAAGCTGCTTGCGATAGCCGACTGGACATGGCATACTGCATTGTGATATTGGTATTTCTCCATATTTCCAGGACATCTTTTCATCATCTATGTCTAACTGCAAAATTATCCTGTAAGAATTTTTGCCTGCTGTTCCTTGCATAATCTACAGCAGTTGAGAAAGTTTGCTTCGTTTGACATTTCCTTTTATAGTTCTAGCGATATTGAATATAATTCTGTTTTATAGACAGTGCCCCTTTTTGCAAATGATCAAAACTTTTTTCCAAAATGTTCTGTACATATCAAGTTTATATTGTATTGATTGAAGCGCAATAGTTCCGTAATTGAAATCCATTTTCCCAAATCACATAATAAGCACACAAATCACTACATAATATCATTCGCACTTTCTATAGTCTTTTGTTTTCCAGTCTTAATAAACTAAATATCCCACATTGATAAGAAAGGAAATCCTAGACCTGTTTTATCCTCTTCTTTCGAAAATATTTAAACATGAATTTAAAACACGTAAGTCAAACAGTTTTCAAATCATTTTTTTGTCCGATGTTCCGGAACATCAACATAGGAAATTTTTGAAAAAGAATATGTGAAACAAAATTATTGAGAAACATAAAAACCTGGTCTTCTGACCAACGTCCAACAACGACATAGTCACTTCGACTGGAATCTTCGGATCTAAAGTAATTGTGTTTAAATCAATCCTCCAAAAATTTAGATTTTTGATATCTTCAGGTAATTAGGTAATTTCACCTGCTATGACCAATTTCTGGCTGATAATTTAAAATTGTATAATGTGCTGGTCCATCGCCTTCTGGACTGAATCGGAATTTTTTTCCCACTGCATCTAAAATATTTACAAATAATATATGTTTCAGAAAACACTACTAGTTTTCATCAAAATTTGGTGCCCAAAAAGGTCATCGCTTATTTAAACAATAGAAGATCATCAGGGTTTTTTGATTGGTAAAAAACTTAGTGATACTTTTTCTTAGTTTGATATTTTCATTGAAATTCCAGAAATAGCAAACGACTATAACTTCTCAATATATTACCTTCAAATTTCACTTGTAACAAGTATTTTTGGTAAAATTCTTCGCCATCAATGTGTTTCATCGCATCGCAAATTTGTGGTACACTTGAATATCTTGATATCCACGATGATGATGCAGTATCGTCAGGACATACTTTCTCTTGCATGCCCTATCAGAGAGTATTTTAATTCCAGTTGAAAAAAAAAGTGAATTTAAACTGAAACTTTCAAGTTTTGGAATACTATGAACACTTTGCTTCTTCTAGTCTAATTCGAAATGACGCGCAATCAAATCGGCTTCTGGTAGAAAAGTAATCCAATTACTTTGTTCATACTAACATAATATTGCAAAGGAAAACCTGTAATCCATGAGCAATGGCATACACAGCATCAATGACGAACTGAACCTTATCATCTGGATTGAAGTTTTCCATAGTCTGATAATGGTTTTCACATCTAAGAAAGATAAATGGTTTTGAAAAATGTAAAGACGAGAGCCAAAAGAAAATAGTTTTCATTCAATACATAAGGACCTTACTTATTCAATGTACTGCGTTCAGGTAAATCAAATTCACAATTGAATTTATGACGCCATAGTTCTCTCAACCATTTATTTCGTTCAAATTTGTTATGGCTTGGATTCAACGATAAAAAATACTGCAAGAAACGAATTAGAATAACTCTATAATTATTGCTTAGTACAACTAAAGTAATCAACGACCAGACACATTTTTTGTGAATTAAACTTCTGCAAACTTCTGCAAACATCTTTTATACAACAAATGAGAAAAAAAAGTTCACCTCTTCAAATGAAGGGACACGATCTGATGCTAACATCAAAACAATAGCACCTTCTGCTACTGATTTCCTAGGACCTGCTGTGTATGCTTCATTGTTTCGGTCCCAGCCTTCACTTGCAAGCCTTTAAGTTGACATCGGTTAATGTTATCTTGAAATTTGAGGGACATATTTAACAAAATTTACTCAGTGTTGCTTTTTAATGTAAATAGAAAACAAAAATACCCTTAGCATAATTTCTTAATTGAGAGTCGAGATTCTTCCGAAGCAAGTAATATTTCGTATTTATAAATTTATATGAAATTTGGTCATGATTTATTCATAAAGTTCCAATTCTTTGTCTCAAACTACAATTAAAAAATAATTGACTAAGACAGTAAATTTTTAAAATAAAAATTGACCAAATAATGTCTTTACGGCGTGGTAACCGCTCGAAACGCATGCGTTCGAATGTTTGTAACATCAGTTCCGGTACATACTCCGTGGCAACAAACAGCACAACAGCACGTGCACCAACGACCTTATCCGGTTGCAGTCTATAAAATGATGACATTGGTTATAAAAACATATAAAGATTACATGAATCAACAATGTCCATTGTTGATGAATGCAATATGTACCTTTTTGTAAGGAACTTGTTGTTCTAATGACTTCGAAAATGAATTGTGTCGTCACAATTTTGAGTGTCAATTTTTCAACATTTTTATAAATAGTTTTTTTTTTAAAAAATTTAGCAATTTAGAATAATTAAAACAATATGTCATGAATATTCATTTGCATTTTTAGATATCTCCTTACCGATTACCATAACCATGAAGTTCAAATATTGAAATCAGTCACATTAGTCATAATAAAGAATCAGGTGGACGTGGTGAGATTAGATGCACCCTGTGTCATTAATTTTCTTCGAGAACTCAAATTGCAAAATAAAGCTCTGAAAAAACAGAAATTTTTTGAAATCCCAAACTCTTATTTGGAGAATTACTTTTTAACGAGATTATCAACAGATTCTTGAAACGCCTCTTTTTTGGGTGATATGCGCTCTTCGATAGCAATGCAAATGTTCATTTTGCGTGCTTCTTTCTTAAAAGCTTCAGCACCAAGTTCACCATATTCATCAGCTGAATACACCAGTGATACGTAGGTCCAGTTGAAGTGCAATGCAATATCAATCATTGCACGTGCTTGATAATTATCACTGGGCACGGTCCTCAAAAACTAGTCAATTGATTTTTCAAATCTATTTGAGAAAACGTAGATTAAGAGTTAAAATTAAATCACAAAAGCAACGAGGAATGTTCTGATATTTTGCTATAAGTACAAGGTGTCACAATTACAAATCGAACTGTAATGGGAAAGGCCTTACCTGGCAAAGTATTCAAAACGTGTTTTGTCACTGAGGTCTGCATTAGTACTGGCTGGACTGACTTGAACTATCTTGAATAACCTCAAGAGGTTAGCTATCTAAAAGATAAGGTAAACAAATTTTCAACCTACAACTAGATATTTCTTTGCAACTTTATATCACTGCGCGACGCCGAACGGAAAATTTCTTAAAGACTTAACGTCCTTAGCATATTTTTTCATGAACGAAAATTTCTTAATTTTCGAAGTGTTTAAGTTCTTAAATTATTTATTTGATATGTACTCTTTAAAAATGTTAATTACTGATTGAAACAAATGTATGATAAGAAGTTATTTATCATTATCATTACACAATATCGGCACTACCTGGACAGTAACGGAACTATAACTGCCACCAACAACCGCAGCAATATTTTTACGTGGCACTTGTCGACTCTTCGGAGAACTACCATCACGACATTGATATTCAGATAAATCAGCTGAACCAATCAAATCGCGAACAAAATCAAGACTTTGATTGAGGGCATAGGCAGGACTTGAACACGAATCCAATATAAGAGCACCCTAAAGATCCACTCACTTGCGTATCAAGACGAAGTTCTTTTAAGGTTCGTTATTACACCATTAGTGATATCTGGTGCAAAAAAAGATGCCATAAATAACAGCAAATCTTTCAGTTAATATTATATTGTAAGTTTAAGTAGACATTATGCAGATATTCCTACAGTGATCGAGCCATATTCAGACAAGCAACTTAGTGCAAATACATAAATAAATGGCATCAGTAATTCACAGCAAAACTTTTTATTTACTTTTTTGTAAATTAACGAAATTGCGTTATAGCATCACTGTTTCTATATGTAATTCAAATCATATAAATTAATAAAGTGATTTCAGGATCCGATAATCTAACATGCCACATTAAATAGTTCAAATTATCGCTTGAAGCCGAAACTCACCGATACATTCTTTCTCTCAGAAGTAACAGAAATTCGGAAAGTTAGGTATAATTTTATGAGTACACTGATTTGTTCATAATTTGCAAGTTGAAATGCCAGTATTTTGACACCATGAGAGTAAATTAACTCAATGGACAATCGCTACTAACGATTGTAATTAGATTGGTATGGTAATCACTCACATTGAGCTTCCTTCTTTCAATTTTGAGCGGCATTCAATCATAAGTTCGTCATAGTAATTCGGATAATTTACTTATGTAACATAAATCAAAATAGCTACAACACCGACCTGCAGGATTTTAGTATTATTTCAAAGATTTACTCACTACCTTCAAAGAACTCTAACTTGATCTAGCTTTCAGCGTTGTGTTTTAGCTTACCAGACGAACTATTATGCATGGCTTTTTAGTTATAAATAATCCAGCTCGACTGAATTAGAAAAGAAGAGAAATAACAAACCAGCTTATAACCGTGCAGAAATTCACGTTGAGAATTGATAACATCCAACGCATACAACATTGCTTCCACTCTGTGAACTCCTCTTAAAACATTTTAGTTTCATTCGTTTCAAATCAAAAACATTTCTGCATCGTTTTCAATTACTATGTGTCTTTGCATACCAAATGCATGATCATACTCATACTTTAACACATTTTAATCCTGTCATTGTGAAAGGCGAACTTTTAAAAAGATTCAGAAAGATAAACCGTGTCTCGGCGATAATACCACAAGGTTGATCCGGTGATCCACTTTTTGCGTGAACTGGAAAAACCCCACCTATGATGACGTCACCAGGTATCCTAATCTGACGCATATTTGTTGGTTGCAAGTATGTCATATCCTCAGACATTTGCTGAAATAATATTAATAGTTATCACCAAATTTCCATTTCATGAAATTATGATCATTTCTACAAGAAATTTGATGATAACAGGTATGACTATCCTCGGTAAAAAGCTTCCTAAAAATTCTCAAATCTTTTGTCTCAACGATAAGGTAGTAATGGTTTCAATAGCTTCTTACCATAACTAATTTTTTACCGTTACTAAGGAAGAGAAATGGACCGAGAAAAGCAAGTGTGGATCAAAGTTTGAGAACTAATTTCACAGTACAGAAAAACGTAGAATATGAAGTTGGAATCTGTCCTTTAATATTTTCAAGATCTATGGAAGAAATATCCATTTTTCGGATTGCAGTTTTTCCTCTAAAGCTAGCAACTGCAACTAATATTAAAGCATAAAAAATGTAACATATAATAATGTGGTAAATATTTGATTTTTTTCTACACTATTTTATATACATCATCCATTTGCACATAAAAATCATGTCAAACTGGTTGAAAACCCGTAGAAATTATTTTCAATTGAAAGTTTGAAAAAAATCTCCAAAATTTTAAAATCCTTACGTAATACACTTTAAACGTACTTGCTGAGTCCAAGAAAAGAACAAAAAAATAAATAATTTAAAAACCGATCAGTTGTAATAAAAGGAAAATACCTTTTCGAACGCACTCATATTTGCTAAGATATGCATTGCCAAAGCCAATAATGAAAACATTTTTAGTGAAATCTGCAAATAAATAATAACCTGCATTTAAAATTTTATTTTTGATAAAAGTGGCAATTAATGTTGTAAGCATTTACGAACATGCAATCTCATTTTCATTAGTAGTAACACTTCTTTGACGGTTATCGCACCAGCAAATTACAGTCCAAAGTAAAACACAGTTTAAATAAATGCTGTTTACATCGAGCACAAATTTTGTCAAAGAACTAAATCACCGTTCTCTAATATGCTCTTAACACCCAACAGTTAATTAGTTTTTCTTTAAAAAAAAAGTACAAAAATATTAAAAAATATTAAATTTCTCTTGCATTTATGGTTCAGTTTAGTTTACCCATAATGTATGCAAAATTGCAAAATTACAATGCGAAACTTGGTTCTAGAATAACTGATCTATGCAAGAAACAATTAAAAGCTTAACTGACAATTAGTTTAGCAAGAAATGTGTGATTAGGAGGTTGAGACGTGAAAATTATAATTCTAATGATATAATTAATAATTCAGTATTATAGCTGAAAATTAGGACAGAAGTTAATCTTAGTCTAAGTCTGTAAGAAATCATATATTTTCTAATTTTTTCCACTCAATTACAAGATTCATATTAAGTAAACGATTCAAAATGTGGAATAGATAAGAAAAGGTAGATAGAGAAAAATGAATTGCTGTACAAAAAATCCGTTATCGTAAATCACAAAAATTATCATAAAAATCAATAAGCCAACACGCTTGTCACTGTGATAAGCATATTAAGTCACTCCATGCTATATTTTATTTTTTGTGATTCATTTTGTGAATTGTTGTGGTATTAAACAATCAGAATGTAATAATGTATGTGAATTATGAAATAAAAAAGGAATGAATTCAGGATGTTTTACATCTCACGGATACTCTGTTACAGAGAGAAATCTTCAACTTGGAAAGTGTGACTGCGATAAATTGATTTCTAATCAATTTACTTTTTTCAGGTAATTCTTACAAATAAAACACTAAAAAGTCATCAGACCATTTACAGTGCGTGCTTACATTTTTAAATGAGCATTGAACAGTTCACCAGCTAAATTTTCGATATTTAAAAATTTTGATTCATTACTTTTTTTTTCAAATTACAGTCTTCTCGAAAAAAGTTGAAACTACAGTATTGTTTATTTAGCATAAAGAACTCACAATATAGCAATTGAAAAACATATGTATTAGGAAAAATAATTTTAACTTTTATTGTTTTGTTTTGCTCTCCGTGAAGTTTTATGAAATTATAATTCATTTCCAGTGAAAATCACAGCAACAATTGTTTACATTTTCACTATTCCCAATCTATAATCAATTATTAAAAATTAAAAATGCTAATGTGAAATCAAATAAGATGGATGATAGAATGGACAAATTGGCTAACATACCGATTAATTAAATTAGAAAGTTAGAATGTTATGATTAAAAGAAATTATAAGTTTTTATGCACAATTTTAAAGATTTGCATAAGAAATAGCTTCTGACTTAAAATTTTGATTTGTACTATTTCAGTAATTGAGAGCCATGATAAGTTTGCCTTTTTGGATTGTTTCCCTTTTTTTGATTGCAATTACTGTGCGAAGATAATGTAATCACCAATAGTTTTGAATTCAGCTTAGCTTCTCATTTAATAATAATAATTACATGCATGACTTAGCCCAAGCAATAAAAGAGATCCCGTCGTGATCTGGATCATATTTGTGTATCGTAGCACATATACCAATAGTTATAGTTTTTTATAATGACAATTCTGAAAGTTTATACTTTGATGTATATCGTACTCTTGAATTGGTCCATCATCAATTACAAATAGCCTATTTGTTGATCAAATGAAATACTGGTCCTGCTGTAGTCTTGCTAAAAGTTCAATTTTTTCGTTAATCGCGATGCTATAACTGGTGAACGAATAAATGATTTATTTTGCTTTGAATAAGTCATAAATTTCAAGATATTTAGAGAAAGTCAGTTTCAAATAGGAAGCATGTAATTCGAAAACAAAATGAGAAATGATGCCATTCAGGTAGTTTTAAAAGTTTATCGTAGAGGGGCGAAATTTTAAAGAACGTATAGTAGTTACTGAAATGGATGATTTGGTTGACGCGACTCTAAAAATTATGAAGAATTTGTCGTTGGCTTATATAATTGAATCATTCGCTTAAACTAAAAACCATTTATTGTCGCCTAATTTTTACGCAATTTTTATTAATTAGCATTTAACCAGTCATTTATTTTCACTACATGAATAATGGATTTGAAACTGATTGTACACAACGAATTGTTATCGTGAATTATATGAGCGATATGGCGTAAAATTTTAATTTTAAGCTATCAAAAAGAACAGTGATATAAAAGACGTGATATTAAAAGTGAGCGAAGTAAAGAAACTGAAATAATAAAGATTAATCGACTCTTATTTGTGCAAATTTTAAAAACGTCTTCTGGTTAACAATGCTAAAGAAACTACTCCAGAAATTACTGAGTTAGTAAGGCATAACACTATCATAAGCATTTTATATTTTGGATTGCACAGCGTCTAAAGTTAAATGTAGCACATCAAATATAATAAGTGCTGTAGATAGCGAAATACTTTAACAGCACTCTCGTTTGATTTGCAAACTCATGCTAAATGTTCCTGTAAGATTAATGTAGCTCGTCTGATCTAATAATTGAATTAGTTCATGAACTAAACTGAAAACAAAGTTAACATGTTATGGAAAGAAAAGTTCCCACAAGATTGTTATCTTGAAATCTCCCTTCAGTCAGTACGAAGTGGAACATTTAGACAAGAATGATTTCCATTACTTTGAGAAGCAAGTTCGAAACTAGAAAAGAGAGACAGCGGATAAAATCACGCTAAAAATATGAAGAAAACGGACATATTTGTTCTATACCGAAAAGAATAATATTATTTATAATGGATAAACATCTATCTTAGCTTTCAATTTTTCTTTTCGTAGCCTTTAAGGTAGTTTAAATCAAGCTGATCTACGAAGGTGTTGTGTTGACCCTTGCATAGCAAGAGAAACACTCTGTTATTTGCTATCTCCGATCTTCAAATTATCTTTTACATTTGTAAGTCCTGCTTCTAAATGTACAATGTTGAAAAGCGGAAGTGAACGATGATATTTATAATTAAATATTATGTTCACTACCATTAAAAACGACATTTCAAGTTTGACCAACAACAAATACCATAGCCACCGATCAGCAAACTTTTTACCAACATTATGTACTCCTTTTTTCTTGACTTCATAATTATGGACCTCTGAGAATGGTGCATTTCATTTACCATGCTCATTGTACAGTAGTGGATCCAGAGAGTATGACAATTTCTGAACAAGAGCACATTTCATATATAAAGAATATTGCTGGTGCTCATTATATTTCTGAATATGATTTTATCGTTTCAAACGTTTATTAAGAATGTCCAGAATTATAAACTTTCAATTCCTTCCTTTCATCGCTTAGTGATTACAAAGTTTAAACAGAAAACAGCGAATATTAGAGATAAAAACTTGTGTTCAGAAAATATAATAATTTCTGTGTATAAATGTCAGAGCATTAATACGACATTAATTGAGCTAGCTTACTTCAACTGGCATGCTATGACACCGCGGAATTGTCACGACCTCTTAAATCATTCCATAAGTGTTTCAAAACTGCTATATTAATTAACAGTTACTATTGCTAGGATGAGTATATCTGTTGAACGCACACATTATTATTCATGCATGTGCAAGGTGAAGTGCCGTAACCACCGTAAACTGCATCCTTCATTTATTGCCAATTTAGTTGAGTTAGATTTAAGTTCGTGACCGCTTCAGAAGCTCTTCAGGATGAATTTGCGCCAGTCAATCTTTTCTGAAGCTTGAAAAAATGCATTTCAGAGACCGTCCATCCTTATTTGTTAGCCACACATTCTAACAAAGTATCTGTTAGAGGAAGTCTATGCTCTGTTGTCAAACATGAAATTTGAAAAAAGAAAGCAGAAAATGTTTGAAATTATACCACAAAAAATGAAATAGAAGACACATTGTTTCAAGTCGATTAATGAAAAAAAGCACAATCACTAGGCTTTTTTATTTGATTACCAAAACAGGAAATGATTAGGAATATTTAAGTAATTTATAACTATGCCACATTTTGATGAGTCATAGTTTTCATAATTCTTTTACCAGTGATTTTAATTGGTCAAAATAGGTAACTAATAACTCATAGTGCAGACTATGTAGCAAACTACGAAGTTTCATCATGTCTGTCTTGCTCTTATAATTTTCCCGTATTTCTGAGTATTCCTTAAATTTTATGCAGTTTTAATCTTCATAAATGAACTTAAATGAAATCATATTCATTTTTATGTTATATATAATATGCTGTTCATTTGTAATTAGTGACTTATATCTTTCAAAACTAGAATTTTTATGACCTCAGCTTGAATTAATTTCAAATTGGTCTACTGATTTTAGACCACACGTAAAAATTATTTCAGAAGCGGGCAAATTTCTCACTTCAATGAATTAATTTATCGCGAATTGTCTCGAAAGGAACCCAATTTTATTAAACATAGGCAAAATTCGACTACTGCTTAAAATTAGGGGAGAAAGTGGAGATACACTAGAAAAGAAGTATATTTAATGATTCTGCTCTATTCTCTGATTTCTCTTTGAAAGACTCTGATATTTATATCATGATCGAGTCTGAACGACACTGGCCTTTCTACATATTCCAAATCTTTATTATCTTTTGTTGTCAGCAACATAAGTTTTCGAAATTGATGCTCAAACAAACAAAGACATATTTATCAAGGTCAAAGTCAAACATGTTCTTGAAGCTGTTAGTTCATCTTTGTTGTTAAGAATATTACTCCAAGACCAATGAACAGCAAATTGAATGCTCTGTAAGTTTCATATAGAAGTGATTTTTTGATAGACACTCAAAAGCATCCTCAATTATTTTCAAAAAAGGCCAATCTGTGAGAAGATTGAACT